ATGCACATAAAATAGGTGGATGGAAACGTAGCTATTGACTTTCAAAGTAATTATTTTTTTTCAAACTATAGAAGTCAATGGGTTCCATCAGTTACATTTTTCAAAATATTTGCATTTGTGTTCAACAGAAGAAAAAAAAACTCAGTAAGTAAATGGTGAGATCATTTTCATTTTTGTTTTATATCTGAGGAATTTCACTATGATCGATGTAGGTTTTGCAATCGTTCCGGGTTTTGGCACGAGCGCCCAGTGGGCTCTTTCCACATACAGATCTGTTTCTGGAGGAAAATTCAAGGTGTCCCGCAGCAGATGTTCTATGAACTCAACCATGAAGTTTCTCTCTGCATCTTCAGGCACGTTGTCTATCCTTAATATGTCTCTTCTTGATCTGCCTTCTTAATCCATCTGTTTGCTTTCCAATTGCGATTGTACTACGATGATTTTCTGCATTGTTTCCTCCACATTTTGCATCCGGGTTTCAATTTCTTTAATATGTTCCTCTGCATGGTCGATCCTTTAAATAGTCTTATTTAATTCAGTCTTGATTTCATCCAAATGGCTGTTGTTTTCCTTCCAAAAGTTTTGAATTTCCTCCAGGATTCATTCCAGGTTGATCTGCGTGTTATCTGGGTTACTAGGCTATTGCCGATTAGCATTGTCTTGCTGTGCTAACGCATGTGTTCCAGTGGCCCCCTACTTTCTGCCATTCCCTCAGTCGCCTGAACCGGAAGCGTCATTTTGATTTTTGGATGAACTATCCCTTTAAGTAAAGTGCCTGGTGTTTAATAAGTCATGATATGATAATGGTACGAAAAAACTGACATTTTCTTTTAAATAAATTGTAGCAAGTATGCACGACCAGTAAGAAATCATGTTTCCTAATACATTTGAATGTGTATTTGAGGAGTTATATGGAAATGTAAAGCACAAATATGAGATTTTGCCTGAGTACACACACATTGTTGGTTGTTTATTTTTTTTGGTACAGCATATAGTGCAGTGGATGGAGTCTAAACAGCAAGAAAGTAGGTCTTACAGTACTATAATACAATCAAAGTTGAACCACTGTCAACCTACACAATGTGGGTAAAAATGAAACATGGTGGTTTACACATGTCTGATTTTGGTTTCAATTTACAAATTATGTATAGAAAAAAGAAGAATATTGCAGCAAATATGCATTTCAAATATATTTAAATATAAAAAGTGATAATGACAATTTGGGGACACTAATGTGTCATGCAGATTTCAAACACACCCATGCACTAACTTCACTATACTAGACTTCCATTTCACCGGGACAACTCTTTTTAATCCAAATGAACCGCGACATGTTTGATGTTGTTTAATCAAGTGTTACATTCCACTGTTTTCAGCTTGTGTGTGTGTGGTTTGAATGAAAAATGTAAAGTAGATTGTGATCTCTTTTTTATATGCTTTGACACTGTTTTGCTGTTGTTTTACATTGTACATTCACGCACTTTAAACTTTTTGTACCAGTGTTTGTAAGCTGTAAATGAGGTAGGCCACTGTCAACATCCTGGTTTAGTCATCAAAGCCTTGTAGCTACATTAAGGAAGAGATAAGTGTCTTCACTGTTGGACATGCAAAATTAAATTTTGCAATATACAAAAGTCACTGTCTAAGAATCTTGTATTTTGTATCTTGTATAGCTTATTTTATTTTTTGTGGATCAAATTTTATGAGAATTGCTCACAAGACAAATTCCCAACTGTGAAATTAAACAAAACATTCATTTTATTAATTGAGTCATTTTATTAATAGTTAATTTCATTCTGCAACTGTGGAAATTTAAACACTTCTTATGAGTGATGTAGTATTACATAATACTTTACTAATACATTTATTATTATGAATAAAATCTAAAAATAACAAAATGTGATTCCAATCATATCATAACAAAGCTTTTGAAGGTTAAAATAATTTCCCTGCTTATATTTTTTTTTCACACAGCTTTAGAAAAATAGGAGACAACTAGATTTATTAAATATCTATTTTTTATCAATGTTAAAATTATAATAATTTAAAAAAAAATTAAAGAGGGAGAAAATTATACTCGCTCCAAGCTATTCAATATAACAAAAGCTTTTTATTTCAGATAAATGCTGACGTGACTAGATTTCTGACGTGGAAATATGACGACTTTCAAGTTCAAAAATGTAAATATTATAATAAAAAACGGCCACAATATTTATTTAGATATATGAGCCATCTATTATTATACCCAACAACAATTAAGATATTTTCAGTGTTTATTACCATTTAACAAGAACTGCATTGTACATACAGCTCGTGCTGCTCTAATTGGCTTAACGCTGATATCAATTATTGTTTACATTTAAATGACCCTGTCACCACGGCAACTTAAGTAGGTTTAAAAATCCACACAACTGTCTATAAAGTTATCAATCCTGATCATCGCGCTACAAAACTCTAAACAAATCTCCCTTTGACTGAGTTTTACCTGTTTGTCTAATTTGGGAAATTGTTTTGGAGTTCGTGATGACGCTGAGGCGCTCGAGAAGGGCCAGGACTCTCCCTGCTCACCTGAGAGACTTCCAGCTGGAGCGCGTCTCTTCCGTTGAGGAGCGCGCAGCGGCGGCCAGGCCGGACACCAACAGCTGCAAGTCGGACACTTCACTGGAGGAGAAACACTTGAGAAACGCAGCTGTCCTTCCTGTCTTCCGCCCCGCAGCATCAGTCTCCTCAGTGGGTGAGTGTCCACAGGAGGAGCCGCTCTCCATCCACGGCCGGAGTGTGCAAGAATATCAGCACATCTTCCATAGTGTCATGGACTCAACCATGAAGAGACGCCGAGGCCGGTACAACCTTCAGTGGGGCTTGGAGATGAAGCAGCGGCTGTGGGAGAGGCTGGACCGGCCTGTACTGCTGGAGACCGTGCAGGCTGATGGACGTGTGGTCATCACTGAGAGCAGGTCTGGGTCCAGCATCCCTCCTCGGATCATGGTGGACATCAGCAAAGAGCCGCTGCCCAAGGAGCCCCGAAGGAAGAAGCCCAGGCACTGAGTCACCATATAGTGCCAGATGGAAGATCAAGGGCACGTATGTACATATTGTATATATTGTATATAGTTCTAGAATAAGTTTGCAACACAACACATTTGACATTTCATTCAAGTTTTCATCATATTGCTGGAGGTTTTTGTGATTGTCAGTGCTCTTTTGGATGGTTTGCTGGATGTTGGCAGGCGTTTAGCAAGGTTTTCTAGGCAGTGTGTTGCGCGTTGTTGGTCTCCTCTGAGTGGTTTTGGCACATTAGTGGTTGTTAGTGTTGGCTGTTGGGTTAGAGTAGGTTAGGGTCCCTCACAAGGTTTGCAGCTTGACGTGCTGTGAGGGCTTGTGCGCATCAGTGATGCTGAGAGCTATGCCACTGGTACTTCACAGTTACCGGTAGGGTCGCCCATAGTGGACAGGTCTCAGCTGAGATGCCCGACCAAGACAAACCACCTGATTCTGGACAGTTGAAGATTGGCCTGATGCTCCAGACAGAAGATGTCATCTGAATGACCAGAAGAACTTACAGCTTGTGTAATTTTGTTAGAGATGGACCAATGCCAGTTACTGTTAGCTCTTCATCTCATCTCATCTCATCTCATCTCATCTCATCTCATCTCATCTCATCTCATCTCATCACACACACACACACACACACACACACACACACACACACACACACACACACACACACACACACACACACACACACACACACACACACACACACACACACACACACACACACACACACACACACACACACACACACACACACACACACACACACACACACACACACACACACACACACACCAAAGATAAAATAAAAATACTTGAAAGTTATTATTGGGTATCCTGAACTGAAATAATGCAAATTATTGTAAAAATTCTGTTTAAATGTTATGAAATTGACTTAGAAAGATTTCAATTCATTATTGTGTTAAATGTGAAAAGCAGTAAGTAAAGGTTTACAAATATAATCTATACAAAGAAATTCATACAGATTGAAATGGCACAGTAGTGTGTAAATGATGGCAAAATTATTTTGTTTGTGTGAACTATCCCTTTATTTCAAAGAATAAACTTTATTGCATTTGAAGAAATGTTTTTTAAATAATCTTCAAAATAAGAATCTAACACTTCCAGTATGTGGTAGTAATATTGTCTTATGAGTGAGACTATTCCTCAAAATAAATCATTCAACAAAGAAGTAAACCGCTGTCTGAACTGATTAAAACATGGTTTCATTCAGAAAGTAAACACAAAAGATCAGATTCACAGTTTTAATTTAAGAATTATTATTGACCTAGATATTACTATTACTATACTACCACTACTATTAGTTATGATTACTACATAGTAATATTGACCTAGTAGTTTTAGTAAATGACACCCAGTGTTTTAATTGTTGCAATACCATTTAAAAATCCACTTCAGTGTTAAGCAGTCAGAATAATTGTTTTGAAACAACTGGAAATTGATTAGAATAGATTTGAGACGATTCAGATTTCTCTCCAAGGAAAAAAATAAATAAAAAACCTCACTGAATATCTCCAGATGAAGATACCCAAAGACATCTTTCTGATGCATGATTGTTCATGAAGCATTGAATACAAAGTATTCCATATGGGGCTTATTCTTCAGGATAGCCTAGATTCGTATGCATTTTGATAAACGATTTGTTTATAAGGACTGGGCTATTGATAACTGTATATCTTCTAATGGAAAAGGCTTGGGTGGTTTGGTAGTTGAATATATAAAATCATTCAAAACTCTGTGTTTATGATGGAGTGGTGATTAATGATTAATTGATCATCAATTTAAATGATCATCGATCACGGGACTTTGTTAAAATTGACATGCCTAATTTAAAGCTCTTAAAGTGATTTTTACATAAGTCCCCTTTAAGTACTAATTTACTTAAAATTAAGGTTTGTGTAATAAAAAATTGTGCAAATGTATTTGCGTTGTCAATTTTGCTTTATTGAATGTTGCATGAAAAATTCTTCTGTGATGGCATGTCTGACAGCCCTCCCAGCGGGATGGTCCCTGGAGACAGAGTCAACATCATCATTGGATTGCTGGCATTCACTTGGCATCTGCTCTTTCCTTATAGAGGCTATGTTGTGGAGTACAGCACATGCACCCACAATCTGAGACGCACGTTCGGGTGACACTCTAAGGTCACGAAGACAGTTAAATCGGGCCTTTAAAATGGCTAAAGTGTTGTCTATCTTGAGCCTGGTTTGACTCAGGGCTATGTTAAACTCGTGCTGTGGTTTTGTCTTTGGTTCAGGATAGGGAGTCAACAAAAAACTCTGGCATGCGTAAGTCCCGTCTCCCACCAACACACCATCGAACAGCCCTGTCAATGTACACCAGAAAGACCAGCGTCACAATAACACTCCATTTTCATTAAGTGCTGCCTACAGTTGCAGTTTTTACTGTACCTTGCTGAAAGCGTTGACATAACTTTGACTTCTCGAAAATTTGGTTGTCCTGCATTGAACCAGGCCATCTGGCATCCAGGCTTGTGATCAAACACTGATGGTCACAAGTCATCTGTAATTAACATGTAGTAGGTAAATATATGTTAGCATCACAGTATGTTGAAAATGTATAAATTCAACATCAACAATCCCTGTACCTGAACATTGATGCTGTGAGTGGCGTTCCTGTTAAGAAAAGTAGCCTCGATTTCTTTTACTGGCGTAGAGATTGGAATGTGTATGCAATCGATTGCTCCGATAACTCCAGGTAATCCTTTGAAAAGATCAATTCATCTCTTTAGCAATTGCATAATGGCAGTTGACAAACAGGCAGTAAAATGTTTATTATTTTTGTAAAACCATTTTTGAAGGATGTTGAGTCTGAATTATAATTGACCAGGAGCTACAGAACAAGTGATTTGTAGAATGACTGCTAAGTTTAACCATAGCAGAGTGAAAGTTTAGTAAATATATATGCAGTAAACGTGACTGGCAGTTCATTCCGATGTGGCGACCTCAGATTAATAAAGGGACTAAGCCGAAAAGGAAATCAATGAATGAATAAAAGCAACTATAAAGCATGTGTTTTTAAAGTCTGTGCTACACAAAAAGTTTAAAATTTGGCCACATTTAGGCACAAAAATGATGTTTGGAAGTATAAAATTTGTTTTGTATTTAAATATAATTAAATCCTAAAACTTTTGTCTTGTTTCTAGTCCAAAATTTACATTTTTAAGCAAAAATACAATATTTTGATGTACCCCACTAGCAGATAATTTTGGTTTTTAGATATTTGTACTAGAAACAAGACAAAGCAAAGTTGCATTGCCATTATTCAATTTCTGTACCTGAATATGGTTACACTTCCCAGAAAAAGACATCAAATATAGCTATTCAAGCCAACTTGAGAAACTGTGTACATCGCAATATCAGACTTTTCCAATATCATGAAGCCCTAGTCTGAGGTATTTATTAAATAATTTTTACAAATTTCCCTTTTCGTTTAGAACTATTCTTTATACAGTCACAACATAAGACAGATATATGACAGAGATTTGTTAAAAAAAGAAGCTTTTTTATATCAAAAGGTCAATTCAAGACAACGAAATGTTTATCCAGTTACTGCATTTTAAATGATGAAAATATATATTTTCTCAATTCTGAAAAATGCAACATCACTTCAACAAGCCATATAGAAAATGGTTGATGGTGCATTTATTAGTGTATTAATCATTGAGGTATCATTAGGTTGGTTTTCTATTCCCACATCTGATTTGGATTTCAATTAAATATTAAAACAGAATTTTCAAAATGTATTGAATATTTGAAAATTCAGTCTGAAATCACATATAAACGTGACTTTAAAACAATATTAGCACTATTGAATTGACTGTGGACAATGTTGTATTTTGATAATATGATCTCCCTATTAGCAAAAAATATTGTTTTAAAATTATATTACCCCAGTGTATTAACCCATCTTACCGGCTATTTGGGAGAAGCCCTCTTTTATGGCCTGAGTGGGTAGATGACCAGGGAACGCAACGAAAGTGTTTATGTATCTCTGGAGCGCAATAACCACCCTACGAATGGTTCGGCAGACCGTGTTTTTGCTGAGTTTCTCGGCATCGCCCACTTCATACAGGAATGTGCCACTTGTAAAGAAACGCAGAGCGATGCAGATCATTTGCGGGACAGTAGTCGCGTGGCTCCGTCGCGTCGGGTTTTTGATATGGGGCTCAAGAAGCCGACAAAGATATAACATTCCCTCCGCCGAGAATCTGTATCTCTCGTATAAGTGCTCGTCGGAGAACGCCAACGGGTTTTGTACATCTCGGATAACTCTTTCTCTGCGCAAAGCCCTCTGCACAATTTGTGCTCCGATGTCTACAGGATTCTCCAGATACGGGGAAGCCATTTTGCTTGTTTACATGCTAGAATGACCGGCCGTTTACGTCATTTATGTCACTTTGCTTACAGCTGATTGGTCCAATGTCTCTACAATGTTTGATTGATTAATCAGTACAGTGGTCTGGTCAGAAGTATGTCACTCTGAAGTTATCGTTTATCTATGGGTCTCTTTTTAAAACTGTTGTGTAAACGACATAGGGAGTCGGATTGTTTTTCCCCCGTCTGAACGATTCGTGAATAAAAGTGATTTACTAAAAATCTGATTTGACGTATGTGGAGAAGTGTGTGGTAGCAGAACTAAGAGATTGTACTTATTACCTTCCATTCAAAAAGTAGGTAGCACATATTGATGACGCAATATGCTACCCATTATAGATTTTGCTACCAGTGTAAATATGATTGCAAATGGACATTTATTAAATTATAAAGAATTTCTTAATCGATTCAATATTCCCATCCCCTAAAGAATTTGCTGTTGTATTTGATGCCAAACCATCTGGAGTTATTAGGTTATTCCAAGGCATCCCCTGTCCTTGTTTCCCCCCTTTAGATCCTTCTACTACAATAGTAGGAAAATAATGTTTCTCTGCAACTTCTTTAAACAAATCAATACACTCTTTATTTCTCAATAGAATTGTATCAGCTCCAAAAGTTACCTTTTATTGGAAATCTTTAAATATTTAAAATTCTTAAAGAAAAATTTAAATGGCTCATCTCAAATAGCTACTTAAATACTGATTAGATAAAGGAAGTTTCGTTTAGAATTATTCATCATACCCAGTGAATACTCTTAGTAAGATATAAAAAAGATATTAATACTAATTGTTCCTTTTGTAAGCAACACCCTGAGTCCCTCACTTATTCTGGCAATGCAGTTACTCGAATTGAGAATGTTGATAAAGACTTTTCCTTACTATGGTTTGGTTTTGTTAAGTTTAAAACAGAAACTTGACATAATTGAAAATATATTTTCTTAATCTTATCTTATTAACAAAATTTTATATACATAATTGTAATTTTTCAAACTAAAAATCTTCTTAAACATTTTGCTTATTGAAAAGCAATATTATTTTAAAACTATTTCTAACTCTTGTACAAGAAAGGCTTTTTTAAAAATTTGTAATTATTTATAATATTTTTCTTTCCCCTCTGTTTCTTTTTCCCAAATGTTTTTTTTTCTTTTTCATTTTCTTTAGAATGCAGTGCGATTGTATATTCTCACTTTTAACATTATATTTAAAATACCAGTGTAAGTATGTGATATGAAGCTGTAATATTGCCCCAACCTACCTAACCCCAACCTTAGAACCATTCAAATAGTGTTGGTAGCATATTCTGATGAGTAGGATAAATTGTCAGGACACTGTCCCCAGAACAGTTTTATTATCTGACAAAATTCACCAAAGAAAATAAAGACCAAAGACATATAAAACAGCAAAACATAAAAAATAAAAGCCCTGCCTTAAGTGAGTCATCACAACTAAACAGCAAGCTAACCTCATTCTTATAATAAGACTTGTGTGTTACACTAAAATGGAAATTGTTCTGTATTCTATTTGCTACCTCTATTCAAAGTAATAACACTTTAAAGGTAAATATAATATATATATATAAAAATACAAATGAATTCATTGATTTTTGCAAAATAGCCCACTGGTTACCACATGCACACTGATATTGGTTCATTTATATTAATAAAATGGTTTCTAAAAAGTTTGTGAACATAGATTCAAACTAGCCATATTATAATCTGTTGTATAACTTGTTTTTATAAACCTTTAATTAATTTAATGTCAAATTCAAGTATGTCTATTGCAGTGCATTATGGGATTACTTCTCATTAGAAGTATAATGGTTTCTCTGTTAGTGTTGGTGAATGGTATAACTTTGATTAAATCTTACTTTGTTAAGACATTTTTATTCAAAATACTTCAATTAAAAGGTTTTAAATAATCATTAAAATGATTACAACAAAATCTTAAATTACTAAATTCTGATAGCACACATCTATGGAGTTAATCTAGGGCCATATATACTTTAAAAATAAAAGAAACTTTTGCAAATAAAAAAAATAAAGTATTGAGCAAATAAAAAAAAGCAAATCTCCAAAAAGTAATAATATATATACATTGTTTGCTAACAAACATAATCAACTGCAAAAGGGAAAGTTAAGCTTTGAGAAATAAAAATGAAATTTGCAAACTAAAAAAAGAACTGCAAATAAAAATCAAGCAGTGCAAAAAAATAAAATATTTGCATTTAAAAAACAACAACTATATTTGTACTGCCTTTACAAAACCTGTCCAGTCAATTGCAATGCTCATTTTGACTTGTTTTTTAGTTAACTGGGATTTCGTGATGCTGTTTTCACTTTGCAGTTCCCTTTACTCTCTGCCCCTTTTCAGATCAGGGCCACAAAGTGAAATGTGCAGAAACGTGTAGTGCAAATTGAAAACAGCTTAGCAAACTCACGGTTGAATACATGCAATTTTTTTGCACTGCTTGATTTTTATTTGCATTTCTTTTAATGTTTTCTCTCACAAAACTTAGTTTTCCCTTTGCTGTTTTTTATTTTTGTTTGCAAAACTATTTTTTTTTTCTTCAAAAATTAATTTTCGCTTTGCAAATTTTGGAGATTTGCATTTATTTATTTTTGCTCACTACTTTCTTTCTTCTTTGCCAAACTTTCTTTTATTTTGCAATTATATATGGCCCTAGATCGACTCCATACACATCTTTTATTTTTTTCAAGGCAATTCCAAAATACACTAGCCAACAGTTATGGAAAACCTTTGATACCAGCTTGACTTCATTTTACCAAATTTAGAGTAACATGTTCATATCCTTGCACAATGATAACTGCAAAGTTTAATGAAGTATGTCTATGTTGATGATTTCACAACCAGAAGAATGAAACTGCTCCAAGCACTCACCGTCCAAGCAAAACAATGGAAAAATGAGTATAACAGCAGGACAGAAGATACAGTGAATCTATCGATGTACACCAAGTGGTAGATACAACAGGCTTCCTCAATAAAAACCCCTGGTCGTCAAACCTTTAAGACATTATGTCCATGCTGATTCACGGTGTATGCAGAGATTAAGGACAGATAAAGAATAGAAGATGAATTAGCAAAAGAAGACAAATGATTAGAAAAATGGAGATACTGAACAGATGAAAAAGAATAAGTGAAATGCATTTTTTATACCAATAATGATAGCAGAGAAGCTATAATTTGAATACTGTAATGACTTTTTTTAAACAATTCTATGGTTATTCTATGGATGATCTATAATGAAATTCAATATAGATCATTCTGTATATCAAAGGAAAGAAAGTTGTTAATGGTTAAAACATTATAGAGACAACCGTTTAATCGCTAGATGTGAATTAAAATGTACATTTTATTCAGAAGGGCACTTGATACAAAAATACAAGATTACAATGCCGGTCCAGACATTTTGAGACTCCCATTTATTTGGGCCTGCTCTGATTATTTGAACATAAGAAAAGCTCTCCTCCGCAGCGGAACATAAATCATTATGTACTGTATAGTTGATATGCCCTTTCAAGCACATTATGGAGTTTGGGATGAAACTTTATAGAATCAAAATCTCCACATCTACACAATGAAAGATACTCTGTCTTGACAAAAGAAAAAAAGATCTTGGATGCCATTTCAGTCAAAACTCTGTTGTCCTCTGGTTATTTGCCTTTTGGTTCTGGCTTCTCATTTGCCTTTTTTTGCTTCTGCTGCATAATTTCAGCATCTCTGAAACACACACACACACAAAATCATACATTTAGTAAGATGTACTTTGCTGTTTAAATGTCCATTTAACACTCATTTTCCAAGTATCAGAGTTCACATTTTTAGGAAATATTTTCATTACTATGAGCCGGTATAAGATTTTGACAGTATGATAACCTTGGATAAAAATATGACAGTTTCATGGTATTGTAATTACTGTTCCAAAATAAGTTTTTTTTTTTTTTTTTTTTTTTAAATGTCCCATTGAACACAATATATTTTATTTTATTTTAAGAAACATTTAAAATATTTTGGACCAGTAGCTTTTGATGTAGAGGTTCATTTTCTGCTGGAGATACTGTTGCCCTAAAAAACTAAATAAAATAGTAGCGAAAAACATGGGGAAAAAACCTTAGGAATGGTTTAACAGAATACTTTTCTAAACCATGGTAAACCTTGAAACTGGTTATCGTCCCATTCCTAATCACTACATTCCAAAGCATAATATCATGATTTTTGCTCCAATACATCTAAAAGGTGAACCACACAGAGGCATGCAAGTCAAATGGTGAATGAGCCAATTCTTTCAGTTAACCTGTTTAATTGGTTTACAAATTAAATAAAACCAGAGAGATCCATGCATCTGTTCTTGAATACATTTATTCAGACGCTGCAAAAGTTATAATTAAAGTTAGCATTTTTATAAATTCAGTGAGACAAGAACTCAAAATCAGAGACTAATGGCATGAGAAATTAAGATGATATTGCTGAATATAATAATGGCTCAATTGTTGTTTGTGAAAAAAATATTCTACAAGAGATTGAGCTCTTTATACCTGCTGTATGAAATGCTTGATTGTGAACATGTTCATAATTGTGTTTTACTATCTAAATCCAGAGAGGTTTATTTAAAATAAACAAAATTGCCAAAATAAACATTCATCAATCAGTACTTTATCAAGTCTTTTTGCTGGAATACAACTGAAAAAAGATACTATCAGTGGAGTAATATTTTAAAGTACTAGATTTGTGTATTTAACCATTACTGCTGTTCAGGAGGATAATTCTGCCAAAAAATGAAAACTGCCTCAATATGTACTAATATTTATGTGATTCTAAACCTTTATATTTCTTTGTTCTGTTGAACACAAAAGTAGATATTCTGAAGAATGTTGGGAAAAAAGCAGCCATTGACATCCATAGTTAACATAAAAATTATTATAAAGGTCAATGTCTGCTTTTCTGCAACATTCCTCGATAGGGCACAAAGGAATATTTTATGAAAAAAAAGAAGCTCAAATAGATTTAGAACAAGAGGAGCAGTGACAGAGGTTTGGGCAATATGGGCGATCACCCAGAGTGGCATTTAGCTGGGGGCGGCACAGAGAGACAGTGCAAACCAGTGGCAAACTATCCCTCCCGAACATGTCCTGAACAGCAGTGATGGTTAAAATACATAAATCTAATGCCCCAGTAAAAATCATCTGTGCACCAGTAAGCTTTGAAAGATACAATTTACTTTATGCAAATGTATTCATTTAGAGTGGTAATACCAGAATAAATGCGTTAGAGGCTATTCGCATTTGGCGTCTTTTGCACGCGTAAGATTTGTTATTCTCTATATGCAACCGAAACAACGCTGGTGAAAGCAAACTGACACATTCTTGCCCGCCTCACATGCTGCTCATGCTCTTGTTTACATGCCTCCGATAAAACATGCACTGCTCATGCACTGTGAAATCGGAGTAGAAGCCTTTTCTGTTACTTTTATGCCACGAGGTGTTAACATGCAGCGAGTTTTGCAAGTTGAAAAAAATACAGCTTATAATATGATGATGATCTTATTTCACTAAGCATGGCTATAAAACAGAAAGGATGGATAGAGTCAGAAAGGTAAGACTTAATAACATTAAATCTCAGTCTTGAGTCGAGTCTAAGATAAATCGATAATCTTATAAAACATATTTATTTTTGTATTCTATAGAATTGTCATAATTAACATTCATGCAAAATATTTCTTAGTGATCTTAGCATTTCACTCCAATTCTGTCATTACATTGTTTTCCAGTTACATTTAGGATTGTTTTCTGTTATTTATGAGGGCGTATATGGGGTGAATCGCCCAGGATGCAATTTAAACTAGAACTGCCACTTAAGTTGAGGATGAGTAAATAATAATAATAATAATTCCTTACATTTATATAGCGCTTTTCTGGGCACTCAAAGCGCTTTACATAGTGGGGGCAGCCATTTTGCGCCAGACCGCACACCACACACCAGCTGATTGGTGGAGAGGAGACAGTGATGCAGCCAATTGAATATAGGTATGTTTAGGTGGCCATGATGGATGAAGGCCAGTGGGCAGATTTGGCCAGGATGCCGGGGTTAAACCCCTACTCTTTTCGAAGGACATCCTGGGATTTTTAACGACTACAGAGAGTCGGGACCTCGGTTTAACGTCTCATCCGAAAGACGGAAATAAATGACAGAATTAAAACTGGGGTGAACAATCCATTTCAGGATCAGTGTGTTATTATTCTAGGTTGTGCACCTTTGCTTGCGGGCAGCTGCAGAGAGGCCATCTTCATTTCTCTTCCCTTTGGAGCTATCAGTTTGCTTCTTAGCGTTCTTTTGGCGGGCAAGCTCACGCTGATTTCCCCCTGCAGGATGACAAATTTACTTAATTTACTTAAAATCAAAAACACTTAATGGCTTTCTTAAACACTCTTAAATTAAAAAAATAATAATGCTACTGATTTTAAATATTCTTATAAATATCTTCCCTTGTGTTTAATGGAAAAATAAATGAAATTAATAAAGGTTTGTTGATACCGGAGAATGTGTAACTGGTGAGAACCTTTTTTTTTTTTGAGTAAACTATTCCCATTCTATTAAAAAGCGAGAGACACTGCAAACAGTGACATGATTTTTAAATACACCAGTTTAGTTTTTTTTTGCGTGTGTGATTTGGGCTTTTCATAATGTTATTTTTTCAGCATATTTATTTATTAAAGAAAAATCCTAAATACATTTTTAAGTCACATGTTATAAATCGATGTCTGTCAATTTCATTTACAATATATTTTAAAGACTTTTTCTGAAAATGAGGGTCTTTTTCATCTGCACTGAGCCATAAATCTCCACTTCAGCAGATCTTACATACACTGGACTTTACAGTTTTATTCATATCTGTAATCTGATGTTTTTTCTTTACAAATGGATTAGTACATACCTAATATGTCTGATTGTATGCAACATACTATTATTCAAAACATTGCTATTTCCTCTGGTTAATCCCATTATTTTGTTAATTATGGGCTAATAAAAAAAATTCTACATCGCCTCTGTAAAGACTCTGGCTAATCACACACAATAATTTTGAACAAGAATTCATGCAATGTAAGCATTTTTGTCCCAAAAATATATGAAAATGAACACATATTTCATTAAATAAGGGCACAGTTACACATTAATACAAAACATGTTAGAAAACTGGTAATTAAATACAAAAAATATTAGCAGTTCTTAATGTAATTAATCTTAGGGTGAACTATTGTTTTTTTTAAACCTATTTCACCTTTAGTCTCTGCGATTAGAAGATCAGTAAAATGTACAAAAGTGAGGTTGTGTACAAAAGTTGACGTTGTACAGAAAAACTTGCAAACACTGATTTATGCTCAGTGAATCTACATACATACATTAATAACAATAATGTGTGGCAGTGATGCGACGTGGCAATGAGGGCGCCAGAGAGCTTTCACAACAATAACATCCGTACAAAACGCTGAGACAAATGATCGACGATAACGCAAAACAAACGACTCTCTGCTCTAATAAAACGATTTCTCTTAAGACAAAATGATTCCCGCTGGGTTTTTGCTGAATGGTGTTACTAGTACACAATATTACTGACTCTGCAGTTTAAGTTTGCTAATGTTAAACATCTGTCATCTCCGGTTAAAGAAACTATTAACGTTAGATTACACATGTTTTCTGTGTTCTAGCATATGCAATAAATAACTAACGTTCACTAGAGCCACTGTAAATTGATGGCTCAAAGGGATTTTCTTGTGATTTGATTTCGTGGACTTTACACAGAATAAGCTAACTGGCTAGTTTGTTAGCCTTGCTGTCGTACTGCTCTTAAAATGAGGATTAACTTAAAGTACTTTCATAAATGATAACTGAAGCTGATATAATATCTTTCAAAAATAAAAATAATAATACCAATCAATACCCACTCGTCATGATTGCTCTTTAGTTGTCGCCGGAGCGCAAAGCTCAGCCTAGCGTTAACTCCCGTCCTTATGATGGCTGGCGGTCTCGAAAATACTAGGAAGCTTTACGACAACACCGCATCGGAACACAGCAGCTCATTCTTTATTACGTCACACGAAGGAAATCACCACACATAAATAATCCAAAAGATAAACCTCTGGAACACATCAGATTTGTTTTATCTTATATGGCTCGTTTTTTATTCACAAACATAAATTCGCAAATAATAACCCACCCGTCGCTCATTTTGGAATAGAATTTACTCCCTCCTAAAATGTTATGCATATGTATTTAAAGAAGATCCTCGATTGTAGTTGCTTTCTTATGGTTATTTAGCTGTAATTGTAATTTCATTCGTTTAATTTTGTTTACTTAATTTAGTATTTCTAGTATTATTTTTTTATTATTAATAATACAATAATTCTTATTATTTTTTTATTGTTTCCCTTTTTGCCCAATGGTATGCTATTGGCGTTTGTATGTGATTATATTTTTTCTTATTACTATGTATATTATTAACCTCCTTTAAGATCTGTCTCACTGTCTGTGATCCCTTGGACTTTGCTCTGATGTTCTTGTAATGTCAGTTCAAGCAATAATAATATTAATATATATATATATATATGTGTGTGTGTATGTGTGTGTGTGTGTGTGTGTGTGTATAACTCACCACACATATATTTTTAATAAGAAATAAAGTAAAAGGAAGATATATTTTTAAACTAATGTATAAATATTGCCCCAGTAATTATTTCAAAGGTTTTTTTTTTTTGTTTGTTTGTTTTGGAGATATTCCTACTCAGCTTGCTTCTGGTTTGATTTTTGTTTGTTTATTAGAGACTGTGCCCAATATATATGTATATATATATGTTTTCTAAAACAATCATGGAAATGGCTAAAATGGAAAATTAAAACATATGAAATAAGTCCTACTTATGGCACATAAGGGATTTGATTGCGTATTTCTGACAGAGAAACGTATATGACAGAGAAAATGTGATAAATATTGTTCAGTGGCTTTTATTTTTCCTTTATTTTAAAGTACAGTAAACTGTACCGTCCTTATGTTTTGAAGCTTCATAGTGAAGTACATGAGTCTGACCAGCAGAGGACACCAGTTAATTTTTTAATCTTTTCTCCGTAGACAGATTTTCTAAATGTCTTATCAAAAAACGAATATAACAATTCTTTTAAAGCTGTTAACAGCTTTATTCTGCCTTGCACGCAGCATTTTCACGAAAACAAATTTAATTTTTGTCCTTCTAATAAAAATAAAGGTAAACAATTAATTTCTCAACGACCCAATTTACATGCTATTGTTAGGATATTAGTAGATTTTATTTAAATCTTATAAAACAAACAAATAAACAAACAAACAAAAAATCTAGGACGCTAACTTTAAATATGTTCAACTGGAACCGCTTCCACTTCCACAAGTTTGGGTCTTTTAATTTGTAAAGTACGTGACACATCCGCTGTGGTATAGTCGTCGCTTACTTCACAGTCTTTGCACATTTTGACAAATGGCGGCACAAGTTGATATCTAGCATCCCCTGTCAGTTATGAATTTTTATAGCGTGTCATTGTGAAACTTTTACTAATCTATTTATTCTTCACATATTTGATCATGTTGCCGTCGTGGGTAGCGCGACAGGGGGAAGTGGGTGATCTGAGAAATAAAAGTAAAGATGAGCTCCTTGAAATACTTTCACGACAAGAAAAGATACTGTCTAATAAGTAAGTGATTTCAGGTACTTTATTTTACACCCACGTATATATTTATCCTAAATGTGTTATTCATGATTGGCGTCTAACTAAACAACAAACGTTAGGCTTATTGGCTCGATGTCTATGTTGATAAACTTCTGGATCATTCCAGATCAACTGACGCTTTTACAGTTAACTTGGAGAGATAATTCATCCAACGATAAGCATTTTCTTACCCTCAAGTGAATCTAAACCTTTACGAGTTTCGTTCTTTTCATACAGAAAAATATATGTTAAAGAAAGCTGAAAACTTGTAACTATTGACCTCCATGGTATGAAAAACAAATATCACCAAATGCCAATACCGTTTGTGTTTAACAGAAGAAAAAAACCCATAAACATGTGAATTAAGTAAATGTATTGAGTAAATTATTACAGAATTTGCGTTTTTGGTGAACTGTCCTTTTAACATACCTGTGTGTGAAAATAGAAGTGTGCTTACAGTTGTTGAAGTAATGGATGGACATTAATTTATTTCATAAGTTGTTTTTTTGTATTGTTTTTTGAATAATTTTTGAAACCGCTTGTATTGTATAAAAGACCTCATAATCGTAATGAAGCATGAATAGTGTTTTATAATCTCTTTCAGGAGATTTATTCAAACCCTCCCAGATAAGGGGAAGAAGATTGCTGAGTTTGTGGAGAAAGTGCATCTTGCACTCGGGCATCTGGAGGAGGAGGAGCGAAAGCAAGCAGGTTTAATCTCTGTCCGGACAGAGTTTCAGTCGAAATATCAGCAAGCCCTTGCCAAGCGAAGCAAAGATAAGCATTTAGACTCAAAAGTGGACACAGTTATCCCATCCCATGACAAAAAGGAAGCCAATGTCAATAGTGATGTGGTTAACGTACAGGAAAATGGTGGTCTGTTTGGCCAGGAGGAGTTTTTGACAACCCGTCTGCAGGCTGCTGAAACACTAGAAACAGCCGGTGGGAATGCAGCAGCCTCATTGCTGAAAGACACAGAGCTTGTGAAGGCATTTGGACGAGTAACATTTGCTGAAAGCAATAATGGCTCTAACAAAGACAATATCAAAACTCAGCCTCCAAGTAAGCCCTTTCTGGACACTAAGCCACTGAAGAAACCACATTACATAGAAGTCCTGGAGAAGACAGAGGAAAGTGTGAATATGAAGAAATCTAGATTCAAACCAAACCAGTGAGTGGAAATACACTATTATTACACATCTTTTAAATTAAGATCAAAACGAATACTACATTATCATGCTTAAATCTTGTGTTTTTCGCAACTCAAACACTGTCTAAATAGTTATGTTGGAGTTCACACACATTTTATGTCACTCTTGATAAATATTATGACGGTAGTCATTTTGAAACTCTTACTCTATATGTCAGACAGTTGTGGAAGTAGTCAATAAAAATAATAAAATACTATAAAAAAAAAAAAAAAACGAGCTTTCAAAAAGAATTTTTACTAATCCAAAAAAAAAAAATCCAAGAGCATTCTTGTTTTAAACAAATTTTAAGGCTTTCATAAGAGTTTTACCTCGTTTAAGCCTTGGTCAAAGTTGGGTTTAGATGTGAACAATCTACACACTTGAACAAAACTCTTTCCCAGGCATAACAAAAAACAAAACAAAATTAAACTCTTTGCCTTTAAAAATAGAATATAGCCCTGAATACCTTAGCATTGTGGGTGGTGTTTTAACATCCCTGATTTGCAACTCATTTCAAAAGGGTAGCACTGTACATTATAACATAATATGAAAACGTGACTATATTTACAGTACTTTTCCCACAAAATACACTATTGTTTGAATTCAACCTTAAGAAGTTATTGTGATAAATCAAATAATGCTAAACATTATCCTATGAATATTTAGCCTTAAACACTACTTATGGCTTTATATAGTATCTCATGTTTACTTGCCCCTCCATGGTGTCAGCAAAAGCAAATTATAATTCCCATCTACATATTAATTAGGATTTAAAATCAGTTTTTTATAATCTTGCTCGCCTGTTTCTTGTTTGTTTTTTTAGGTTAATTGTAAAATCTGAGTCTCCTTCATCTAGTCACGCGTCTGGCAGCACCACACCACTAACTGCAGAAGCCAGAAAACAACAAGAACGAAAACACCTGGATGACATCACCGCAGCTAAACTTCCACCCCTGCACCACAGTCCAGCCCAGTTACTGTCATTAGAGGAGTCGGCAGCCCTTCTGCAAGAGCAGACCAGAAAGCAGCTGGTAGGTGTCCATAGCAAAGGTTTGAGTAATCATATTGACCAACGACATTTCAACATATCAAAAAGTTTTATCCCACAGAAACATGAACAATTTCAACATACTTTTGAATACTCCCAATCGACTGTGTAAAAATTATACATGTTTGCTGCTTTTGTATGTGTGTTGTTCATGTCTCAATTTGTATTCTGGAAGTAGTGCAGTCATGTGATTGTCTATAATGCTCATTTCAGGAGATGCAGGCCAAACAAGCTGCCCAGAAGCTGGCAGATGGTCTTAGTATCAGGATGGAGAGTTACAACCCAGAAGGAGGCCCACTGGCAGCCTATAGAGAGGTGCATGATGATGGGGCCCTGCTTTCTTCAGAGGAGGACTGATCGTGGGGCCCTACAGGGAGGATACTGGCTTGTTGATATGTTTGGCCCCTTGCCCTGGACCAGCTCTCGGCCTAGAGCCCATGCTTCAGGACCCTGGAGAGAGTCTTTCAGCTTGAGGACAAGAGAAAGGCCCAGAATCGGCAAATCAAGATGAATAATAGCAGGTTGCATCTAGCTATTCTGTAAAAACTAGACTGTTTTTGCATGTGGAAATGTTAGTTTCTCTCAGTAACAGCTTATCTTGGCAAGCTGATACCAAAAAAACTTACCTCGACAGGTCCACACCTGTTGTCTTTTACAGAATAATATAATTTGAAGCTCTTATCAGCCATACCTTCAAGGGTGTAGTTGATATGTTATTGCGAAGATGGTAATAGAATATTTTTGGATGACCTTTCTTAGTGTTTGTTCAAGCAAAATCCCCTGATTCGAGCCCTCAAGCTTGTGATTGGTTCTTTGAATCGGATAACAGAAACCGCAGTTTCATAAACTAAAGGTGGAAGCACTTAATGTTTTGTCACTTGAGCGCAACAGCTTTGGAAACGTCTGTCTCCCTCCCTTTTGTAGCATTGTTTTGATAACCGCCCACTGGTTGATTGGAGTGAGTCAGCCATCGTTTGAAGGGTGGGATGTTGTTATCAGTGCAGAAATCTGTGACATGCCTCAGATGATTAATATATGTAATGTGAAATATCGAGGCTTGAAGGAATTACACCAATTGGTGGAATACATCTGGATTGTATTTAGATCATGTTTCTGTATGGCAGTGCATTCTGGGATGGCAGTGGATAGACAGACGGAACATATGGTAAATTCAGTTTCCAAAGTCATCAGCATTGATAAAGCATTCATAAAACTGACTTCAACTCTCAGGATGTAAACAACGTGTTTCTTTCTTGCATATGATTCAGGAATCTTTATATTTAAATGGAGAGTAGGGAGTTTGAAGAGGGAGGAAATCCAAATCTGCACTTCTCCGCAGTAGATGACCTGTGATAACCTCTAGTAATTGCTTCTGCCCGTTGATGGGAACTGCTGCCTCAGAAAAAAAGAGATCCTATCACATCTCGCAGGTTAGTGTTTAGACACCGTGTGTGACGAACTCCAGAGTGCCTTACCCAGACGTCCTGTGATAAATATGTCAGTCTTGTTCAGAAAGAATCTCTTCTCTACTGGTATTAATTAAGTCTACCTTGCATAAAGACTGTTATCAATTACACACTGGATTCCTGCGCTGATCAGATTCGCTGCTGAGTACGTAGATACGCTTGAGTTGGATTCAAGCATGCGTTCTGACAGTGTCTTTAAGTTGTTCTTTTTTAGCTGCAGTTTTTGCTTTCCACATACCTCCACACCCATCGTCTCAGATCAATAAACGGCTCATGGAGTCATCTGTAAGTGCTTTACGAGTGTGAAATCATGCCCTGAGAGAATGGGCAAACTTTCTGAGCTATGAGGGGGATAAACTATAGATTTTCTTTTTTTATCCTGGAGAACCCTTCCAACTGACATCAATAAAAACACATTTTCTGCAATGCATTTCACTGCTCTCTTGGTTATGTTATTTATCTTATTTAAAGGCATTTAAATTCATCACTTCTTTGAGACATAAATCTGCCACTTTAGGCATTTTTTTGTCTACCTGTAGATCCAGTTTCACAGTCTGTGCCCTAATAAGACCCAGCTCAGTGCAGGTTACACACTTAAGCTTTGGGCCTCTAACGTTTTGACTTCAAAGTCCCCTTTAGTTCAAAACAACACTCTCCTATCTACATTGATCAGTACCTCTAGTAGTTCTGTTATAATATGAAAATGTCAGTTTAATTTTAAATTAACTGTATTTAAATAATGTCCTACTGTAGACCCTAGTGGGAGTTTGTAAATGTGTATAGATTCTATTCTACTATCATCAACTAGTGTATGGGTTTTAAGTATTTTAGATGTTAAAGTCCATGTGAGATCAATTTGCAATGTTTATTTTCTAGTGAACGTTGTTATTCTTTAGGTAAATAATTATTCTGTGCAAGTTAAACTTGGAAAAAAAGGTTTTGGTAGTCTTTGATCAAAACTTGTCCATTTGCTTTCTTCTTTGGAGTTCCAGTCCTTCTCGATAACACTTTATTTTGATGGTCCATTTGAGTATTAGTAGACTGTCTACTATATCTGCTGATATGCTCCTTCAACAGACATTTAACTGACTAAGAAACTTTGCAAGTACATTTCAAGCCATGCGTATGCTACAGTGAAGCATACGCATGCTATGATGTATGCTAAGGTGCTACGGTGCAGCACACGCATGGACGCATAAGGCTGATTTATACTTCTGCGTCAAGTGCACGCGTATGCTAAGGCGCAGTCTGCCATCGGCGTCACTGACGCGCTCCTCTCAAAAAATGTAACTACACATCGCAATGATGCGTAGCACAAGCTCTGTGATTGGTTGACTTGGTAGTGGTGACGTGTGGGCAGGAGCGAGAGCCGCCTGAGTCCGTTGGAGCGAGTGTTTACAAGTGGGGAGTCCCATGAAGGAGCTCCGGATGGAAAGTTTTGTTTTGTGTTTACCCTATGGTAAAGTTGTTGCACGTCTGCCGGTTCCTGCCTCAAAATGAGCGTGTTTGAGCCACTGGTACATTAAAGAAGCGTTCAGAAAAAAAACAAAACACCAGCGAAGAAACTCAACACAGAGAACGTAAACACCTCACTGCCAGCTTGCGTTTCGGAATTGTTATTAAAGAGGAACACAAACAATGAGCAGAAGTATAAATGCACAGCAATGCCCAAGGCTTGCGCTGTGGGTCATGCAGATCACTTGATGTAGAAGTATAAACCAGGCTACAGCCCTCCCAGTGGCCGTCGGCAACGCTGACGCGCACCTCTCAACAATGTAACTACACATCGCAACGACGCATAGCGCAAGCTCTGTGATTGGTCGGCTTGGTAGCGATGATGCATGTGGGCGGAGGTGAGAACCGCGCGAGCCCGATGCAGCGAGTGTTTACAAGTGTGGAGTCCCATGAAGGAGCTCCGGATGGAGACTGTTGTTTTATGTTTACCTTATGATTAAATTTGTTGCATGTCTGCCGATTCCAGCATCAAAATGAGCGAATTTGAGCTTGTACATTAAGGTAGCGTTCAGAAAAAAGAGAACACCAGCGAAGAAACTTGATTTAGAGGAACACAAAAACCTACTGCCAGTTAGAGTTTCGGAAGTGTTATTGCAGAGCAACAGAGACAGAGCGCAGAAGTATAAATGCTCGATTACGCGCATTGCATGCACCATTGGTCACGCCAATCACTTGTCGCAGAAGTATAAACCATTCTTTAACCTAACCCTGACCTAACATTCTACTTATAATCTGAGAATTAGTTGGCACGTAGATGTAATGTAACTTAAATTCAACAAACGGACCATCAAAATAAAGTGTGAACTTCTTCTGAAGATATCAGTTTGACGGCTTCAGGCCCAATATTCTTAACCATGCTCCTTTTACCGTTAGTTTGCCATGAGGTAATAATACACAAAAAAAGCCTCATCCCCTACTCCAGCGGTTCCCAACAGGGGGAGTAGGGTCTGTTTGCGAACTGCAAGACAGGGAGGTAACATGAAGGTGCCTTAGGAGCGTAACTTGAAGTTATGGAGCCATGTTAAAACTATGTTGTTGGCTAGATGGTGCTTTACATCAGTTATTAACATGTACACCTACGCCAACCATCACAGTTATTAAGGTCTACACCAGGAATGTCCAAACTTGGTCCTGTAGGGCCAGTGTCTTGCTTAGTTTAGCTCTAACTTGCTTCAACACACCTGCCAGAAAGTTTCTAGTATGTCTAGTAAGAGCTTGATTAGCTGCTTCAGGTGTGTTTATTTAGGGTTGGAGCTAAACTCTCTAGGACACTGGCCCTCCAGGACCGAGTTTGCACACCCCTGTTCTACACCTTTTCTAAACCTAAACCCAACCATCAGAGTTATAAACATCTACACCTTCCCTAAACCTAAACCAGTCCTAAGATACACTTGAATAAGGGGGTCGTGGCCCACAAGGAGGCCTAAGCAAGCTCTGTGTGGGGTCGCATCATATAAAAAAAAAAATTAGCAGTGGACAATTAGTAGAATGTTCATGTTGCCTTAGTTAATTTTATCCTCTGGCTGACCAAAAAATGGACAAATTTGTAATTCGTCCTTTACAAAAATGATCGAGTCTCACTTGTTCGCCTTCAGCAGCTAATAGTAATGAACCAAGCATACTGGACCCAGATGGAAAAGCTCCAAACATTTTGGGTTACAGCGCTAGCAATACTGGAAACACAAAATGAAGGAAATACCAAGATAGTTACCTAAACTATGGTTTTATTCCCTTTTCTCGAAGCAGAGAGTCCCTGACCCAGCCACAGTCAATATCTGCGACAAAGTTCTTGCTAATGAATACATGAGACCGTCCAAATTAAGAAGACATTTGCAGACGATTCATCCCCAATTGCCCAAGGTGTACCCAATCCAAATGGCCTACTGATGTTTTGCTTTTATATTTTACATTAGGCTATTATTTGTGCATTAACATATATAGATAGTAATAAACATACTGTTTCTTTGAAAACAGCAATTTGTTGTCATACCTACTGCAAATTTATATGAGCGATGATATCATTAAATGTGGAGGGGGGCCTTATATTTTCCAGATGAAAAGGGGGTCTTAGTCAAAAACACATTAGGAACCACTGTCCTACTCAATATCCTGTTTTAGGTGGAATTACATCATAGTAAAATAATTCAATTCAATTCAGCTTTATTTGTATAGTGCTTTTACAATGTATATTGTGTCAAAGCAGCTTCAAATAAATGGTCATAATAACTGGATCAGGGTAGTTCAGTTTTTAGAGTTTAAGTTTAAGTTGACATGTTTAAATGTCAACTGACCCAACCAGGGCTAGGACCTAGTTTATAATCTGTTAATTTAATGTTATAAATAGACCTAAAATAAAAACAGGAAAATAAAAGTAATGAAATTTCATTCATTATACTAATGTGTTTTTTTGTTTTCATATTTGAATCTTTCTTTTCTCATGTAGCATGTCAGACTGAACACCCTCTGACTACAGCAGCCACACCCTAAACACTCACTATTGGTCAAGCTAGAAAGTGATTGGATTCAGTGTTTACATTTTGGGTAGATAAATCTAAGAATGACATATTTATAGGTACCAAAGGTGGAAAGAGTACTGAAATCTTACTCAATTACTTGCCTAAAATTTAATGCAGTAGAGTAAAAGTATCTATTGGTAATATTGCTAAAACCATGAGAAATAGACATTTCAAAAGTGTCAAGAGTAGTGAGTAAAGAGTATTTCTCTGTTAAAAGCTGATGCGTTTACATGTAATGTGTGCATGTGTGTGTAAACTTAACAATCTGGAGTGCGTCTAGTTATTGCCCAGCCGGCAACTTCATAAAGACGTTAATATTAGGTTAGATTTAGGTTGTGATGTCAGGTGACCAAAATTCAATGTCTTTAGCCAGCGTCTAAGGACAACGTTATTTTGATGTCCAATAATGATGTCAAATAATGTTGATATTTGGTCGATTTTTAGGTTGTTAAAAAGTAACCAAAATTCAACGTCGAGCAACATCTTAAACCAACATCATATTTACGTCAAATATTGACATTTATTCATCAGGTATGGCAACCAAAATCCAACCTGTGATAAATGTCATAGGGGTAACATCTTCACAACGTCAAGCAGTAACATCATTAGACGTTGATATTTCATTGATTTTAGGTTGGACGTTGGACATTGATGTCGGCCTGACGATGGGGTAGAACGTCATTCTGATGTCATGTTGACGTCTTGTGCCTGCTGGGTGTTTAAGGCCATTTCAGTCATCATACAGTAAACATCTGTCATCTTTTCATCAGTGACATGCATCTAAAGATTTTGGACACCTTCTTGGACACTTTTAATACTTTCAAACAGTTTGCTGTCCATGTCTTGAGGTGGTTTGTTATGATGCGATTTTTACCTTCTATGTGCGGTTAAATTAAATTGGAATCACATGACTGATAAAAGTATTGATACAGCACTAAAAATGTACTCAATGGAAAGTAAAAGTGCACATTTTTAAAACAACTTGCATATTACATAACTACTTACCAATTACAATTCCTGAGAAAAACTACTCAATTATAGTAATTTGAGTATCTGTTATTACTTTACACCACTGATAGTTACCCATAAAATAAAAATGTAAACAGTATTTACTCAGTCTCAATTGGTTCCAAACCTTTATGTGTTTTTGTTGAACACAAGCAAAGATATTTTGAGGAAAGTTGGAAACCGGAAACCACTAACATCCATAGTAGAAAATCAAATGAAAGTTAATGGTTACTATAAACTATGAAAGTTAATGATTACAGGTCTGCAACGTTTTTCAAAATATCATCTTTTGTGTTCAAAAGAAGAAAGAAACTCAAGCAGCTTTATGACAAGTGAACGGTGAGTAAATGATGATTGAATTTTCAGTTCTAGCTGAGGTATACCTTTTAAA